GTATGGGGCTCTAGTGTGGCTCACCTGTTAAGGTAACAAGGTCGGTATCAAGCTCGTTCAAAAGTTAGTGTACTTTTTGAATCATCTTTAAGGGCATAAATAGACAAGACGATGCATCCCAGCGGGGAAAAAGCGGATCGTCCCCAGACTGTCAGCAGCTTTCGCCTTGCTGTGATGCTCAAAAACGAGAAAGAAACAACCTGAGGTCAAAACCAGAAAAAGTATGAGCACTTTCACATAAACCACATTTTTGGCGCTTAGATTCAACCCAAAACAGGTTTCCAGGCACAGAGAGGCTCAGAACTGAACACACCTACTTGCACTACTACAAACAGCGCTTAAACCTCAAACGCCGAGCAACCTTAAAGAGACAGAAACCCTAGAAAACGATTAAAAGAGACAAATTGTTCGCAACGTGGTCCCAAATTTAAAGGAAACTAAGAAATTCACAACGAACGCCGTACACCTTTGGTGCGTCGTTTTACGCCATTACCGTAGTATGGCAGATTTGTCGTACACTTTTCAACCCATGGGTTGAGTTCACGGAAATTTCGGATTTGCTTCTTGGTTTTCTGGATGGGGATGTGCTTATTGAATTCCCTTAATTGCTCCCGTGGAAACCTCTCTTTTTTGTTACATTGTTACTTCCTGTTAAATTTGATCAAATAACACTTGCTGTGCAAACTCGTTGAAGCTTTCTTCAGTGGTTGATTATATCCATACGTTTAGTCACCACAATGAAGTTCATCCAAGATACTTGAAAGCCCAGATCTTGCCAATTACTAGAGATTCATTCAGTAATAAATGCATGGATAGGCCCTCATATCTTTTTTCATGCTACTCGAGCACCTGATTCATCGGGAAACCTCTAGTTCGAACTTGCCAGTTGTCTAGTTATATCCTTCAGCTTTTTTGAAGTACTCCTCTGCTGTTCTGGTAAATACGTAGGTTATTCCCGGACAGATTGTACTCGAGCGATTTCTGTAGTCGAGTGTCCTACTGGGAGCATTTGCAAGCACGTTTTTATGGTAGCATATGGAGTGAGAATGTAATCGTTTCTACTATTTTGGGCAATACATAGAGATTTATTTTTCGAATCAGGTACTAGCTGGACTTTGCAAAACCT